GTGTGAGGTGCAGTGAAGCAGACTTACAGGCCGGCACCCACATACGCGGCGAACATTTCACGCACTTTTTCTTTCCTGTTGATTAAAAGAGAAAATTACTTCCCTTGAACTTTCACGGAAAAACCTTCTTTGCATACCCTTACAAACGACTGCGGGCAAACAGTTTTTCTTGAAACCCATCGCCAATCTACACGAGCCTGAATATTTGTCTATCCTTGTGCCTCTTTGTCTCCTGAAGTGCCTCTTTGTCTCCCTTGTCACCTCCATGAATATCTAGAAGCGCAGCTGCTTAGGCCGGCACCATGCCGTCGCCGTCAGAGCTCCCTGCGCTGGGCAAGCGCGCGAAGCGAAACAGGGGCCCGCGCCCGGCAGGTGGTTCGCGCTGCGCCGCGCACCGGCCACCGAGCGCAGCAGACGCTCTGCCCACGCTTTCTCTACCCTACTGCCTTCCTGAAAGCCAGAAGCGAGATCTGGTGCATAGTCGTTAGCGTCCTATATCGAAAAGAGCTTCGCTCATCGGTCGTACTCGTACGCAGGATGGCTGCTAGTTTTGGACAAGCTTGCTGGCAACTGTGCTTCCATGTGATGCAGTTGTGTTGCGTTTGTGAACATGAGTGCGAAATCCCCGTTTTATTTCACCACGAAACATATCGTGCGACAAAGTAGTAGGACGACGATGGGAGGTCATCAGAAAGCCTCTACACTGCGTTTCAGCCACAGGGATGTTTTATTCGCCGTTCAGGAATACATCACAGCGACTAAACGATTTTCTTGCTAAATTACGGTCTCACTATTTTTTTCTTTGTTTTTTCTGCAATTTGCAATTGGCATTTCAAATCATAATTAAATAACAAAAGTTTTTTTTTAGCAATGACGGAATGCTGAAAGTATCGGACAAATTCACCTTATAAACGGCCAATCCCCTCCTTTGGGTACGAGCCATTTGCAGAGGAAAACAACAACAACAACAACAACAACAAGCGCTATTCTTTTCCCAGTAACCAGCAGGAATTGCAGGTGTGCCGTGTTGTATTGCATTTTTGAACAAGATGTCAGCTAACGTCGCCAATAAGAAGGCTTTTTCCATATCTCGTATGTGGGTCGCTTAGGAAGGGGCTTTCACGTCAGGTTTCGAAAGGCATATATCGGTACAAATCTCTAGAACGAGTGAGATCTAGGCACCGGTTCTGAAATAGAAACTTTGTTACGCGATTACGCTGAAAATAAGTGGGCAGTGCCAGTAGTGTGGTGAAGTGGCGAACACTTTATGGTCTGGGCCTGCTAAGTGAACCAAAATCCCATCCCCAACGCCACCAAGAAAGACTGGGAGGTGACCCTGCTCAATAGTTCCGTACTAGAGGAACAACGAACTATCGTCTATCGGACTCGGGTGGCGGCATCGACTAATGACGTCCCACATAGCGATGTCGATCAGCCCGGCAAAAATAAGGACTCTTTTTGAATTGTCAGATTAAACAATAGTTTTTCCTCCTCCTCCTTGCCAAATGGCGACAGGCATGGAGTTATTGGATGGGCGGACTGATAGATAAACTTGTGGTACTTCGGTACTTCGGTACACGCTCCAGCATGTTGCGGGCCGCTCCCACGTCAGAACTGAAAGACCAAGTCTTTCAACTGTTCAGGGGCCCGTTGGACTACCCATAGCTCTTCGTCCGATTCCAGAACCAGTAATAGCGGCCTCAAATTTGTAGCGGCGTGATTAATTCACCGCTGCGGAACGTGGGGCACATGGCGGGGCATGTTTTCAAATTGGGGGGCCCTTAAGTTTCGCCTTTAAGAGTTGAACGCGATAGCGATGTGATATCCTGTCACAATAGTGTACACTTGAACAACCTGGTGCATACTTTTCATTGCATGATCTTACTACAGAAGTTTTAATTGCAAATTACGACAGCCCCGCCGTGGTGGTCTAGTGGCTAAGGTACTCGGCTGCTGACCCGCAGGTCGCGGGTTCGAATCCCAGCTGCGGCGGCTGCATTTCCGATGGAGGCGGAAATGTTGTAGGCCCGTGTGCTCAGATTTGGGTGCACGTTAAAGAACCCCAGGTGGTCAAAATTTCCGGAGTCCTCCACTACGGCGTCTCTCATAATCATATGGTGGTTTTGGGACGTTAAACCCCACACTTCAATCAATCAAATTACGACAATGCAATCGATAAAGTTGAAAGTGGCTTGTGTCAGTGAAGCTTCCGCATTCGGTTGTATTCTATGTAATGTATGACATTCTTTGAACAACGAGAAATTAGGCGCTTGAAATCTTTTCAAGCCTGCCATGTACACCCACTACGTGGTCTCAAGGGAATACGCGCAAGGAATACGTGTGCCTTTTGTAACGGGTAAGCGGCTTTAAACCACGAAATCGAGTCGATAATCACCTGTTATGACGCCCGATCTTGTACCATGCAATACTGTTGCTGCGGTATTTCACGTTGTATTGTGAAGCCTGTATGCACAATGCGCGTGCTTGTAAAGCATGAATTGCATTTTCACTGCATTTCCAAGCAGTGGAAGTTTTTTTTTTTCTTTTCCACTATGCTTCCAAGCATACGCATGTCTGTGAGGTAGAACACCTGCCTTTCACGCGAATTCCCGGGATCTGTACCCACTCAGACCAAGAATGTTTTTTTTATTATTTTATTTGCTTCGGTCTCGATTTTTTAATCGCAACCAACGATGCCAACGCCTACATTTCTGCGGAACGAGCTCTTTTACGCTGTCGCGTTGAACAATGCTTGAGAACAGTCACATCTGGGAAGTTGGTGAAATAAATAAAATGAAATGCGAGACGAAAACAGTGACAAGCGGGCCCGGCCACGTGTTTAAAAACCCTGTGATCTATTAGATTGAAATCACAATGGGGTGTTGAGAAAAGTTACAATTTAGGCCTGGGTTGCGTGTTGGAGTTTATTAAAGGGAATATCAGAGTTTATAGCCGTGCACGTGTGCTCGCCTGTCTACAACTTATACACACTGATGAAGCAAAAATTTCAGGGCAGGTTAGGTTGACTAACCATGTCAGACCCAGTAAAAAAAAAATGCTGGCCTATGCTCAACCCGAACGGCACAGGCTCATCTGGCTATTTTTCTCCTGATGCGGAGAGTCATTAATTGTTACAATCTTACGAAGGATGAGAGGTCGAAGGAGGTACACGACCAACACAAAGGTTTATTACACAGTTACATGAAATTCGATAAATGTATAAAGGCAAGGTTATGGAGCACACACATTTCCATCATTATCGAACTCGTCTATCTGTACAATCACGGGGAACATCTGTGACGCAAGAAATTTCTCCTAACGTATGTTGTCCAGGATATATCTCGTGTTCATCTGGTTCAATGAGACGGGCGTCGAGAATTTGCTGCCGCCTATGGTCAGATACGCGCAGGAATTTAAACGGTCCCTTGAACCGACTTCCTCACTACGCGCAGATCTACAAAAGAGAGTCGCAATAAACAGTCAGTATTATTTATTTATTAACATATTTATTATATTGTACCCTAATCTGCAAAGCAAGCATCGATAACAACATGCTTACATCAATGCAACGTTACAGTTGATCCGAACTGATCATGTATACTTGACGCACCGAACACCTTGCCCTTTGTGAAGAACATAGATGTGAAGTTCACGTTAGCACAACTGATTACATGCACGGCTGATAAAAATGACACTTTGCACGCGCATTGCACAATATGAGTCGCTGTTTCATAATGCTCATTTGCAGGTCTAACGTGGAGTGACCACGAAACTGGATGAATATAACACCGATCGTATGTGTTTTATCGTTTCAGCATAGAACAGCCAACGTCGCGCGACGTCCTTCATTGCGTACGCACTAGCCGGTGGCCAGTTCTTCTTCGGCCGACGTCGCGGTGCGATGCTCACAGTGCTCGGCTACGATCTCGTCCACGATCTCCTTCACGTCCGGGTGACGCTCCAGCACCTCGTTGAAGGCGGCCCGGGTGAGCGAGAAGAAGAGGCAGTAGCGATCGGCGATCACCGTGCGCAGCCGCAGCATTTCGCGCAGGAGGCACACCTCTGCGTCGGTTTGAGTTGGAATAGACAAAAGGAAATGACGAGCTCTGGGCTAGGCGGAGCCTATAGCGTCGTGACGTCGCTTCAAGCGCGTCACTATGTCGACGGCGCCTACCCGCATTTACAAACATGGAATAGGTATATATATAGAGGATACCATATACATGGAAGTTATGTTGCGCTTCAATGATTTCTTTTGCCCTCCACGACATTTAAGTGCTGAAGGTGTTTCACTGCTGATCAGAATCGTGGGGTGGAATCACAGCCACGGCGGCCATGTTCTTTATATGGAGGCGATAATTGTTCAGGCCCGTGCACTTTCATTCATAGATATATACGTTGAAGATGCCCTGCAAACTGTGTGAGCATGAACAGAAAACGCGACCAATCGCTAATCGAGGCTCCTGAGAGCATGCGAGTTAAGCATTATGGCGCAGCGCACGCCTTGTAGTTAACAAATAATTCTCAAAATCAGCTAAAAACCATTCCCTATTATCTCTACAAATGACGCAATAAAACCAAATGACCGCGCCAGAAACCTCAAGTCCGCAGCCATCAGATGATTTGAGCATTGTGTGCTGGATAACTATCGCAGCCGCCACAGGATGACGGGACTTGCCGGCGCCGTTGCTCGCGATACCACTGAAGGTAAGCCGTGTGGTTCGACGCGCGCTTGGCATAACTTCTTTCCCTCGGTCCATCTCTCTTTTCTAAGCCTCCAGCACACTCGTCGGGTCGGAAGAATTCAGACGTCAGTTACACAATGATACAAATTCCTGTAAGTTCGCTCGTACTTGACGGGTGCTAAAAAATTGCGATAGTGTTGCACGACGCCTTTAGAGAACCGCAGGTGGTTGAAATTTTCGGACCACTTAATTACGCCTTTTGCAATTATCCTATTTCGCATTGTGGACGTTAGACCCCAACAATTATTATAACGTTTTTTTTTTCCAATTTTTCTCTCCACCTATACAACTTTTCTTGTGCGGCAAACTTTCAGTTGAAAGTAATCGCTAGAAAGTGTCATTCTCGTCTGACTTTGTCCCCAAGTGAAAAAGGAGCAATTTTTTTTTTCCACTGCTCACAACCAATTAGCCCAAAGCTCTCCCGCACAAATGTTACATTCGATGTGTGGGTTATTGAGTTTACTCATGTGCGTTGTTACAAATGAAGAGGGTTATACAGAAACAAGTCTCTTAGGGTTAACACTGCATTCGAATCTCTTGTTACTCACAAACAAAGCAAACAACAGAAGCAACGCTGCTAAATATATGCATACAACACATAGATACATGCACCATAGATGCACAAAATGGGACGTAATGACAGGAAAGCTATTCAAAACTAAAGCACATATTAAAGTGAGCGCATAAGCAAAGACCAACAAAGTTTCACTGAAAATCAGTAGCCTTTATAGATTAATAATTAAAATAACATAAAATAACTGATGCAACCTAAATAAGGCTTAACAAACTGCACTGTACAAGGCGCAAAAGTAACACTAGTGGCATACATAGACTCAAAACACAGGTGAATTGGGCGTTTAACGGTAATTGAATGAAGGCGAGACATTAAAAAGTGCATAGCCTTCCACACCTTGACGTCAGCGTCAGTGTTCGTGTGAATTGAAACGTGAGCAAGTTGGTGCGTATTCATCGTGATTTTAGCAGCACACTTGGGTTGAGGACTAACAAGAATGTGCCCAATATGGGCACTGACTCGCAACTCAATTTTAATCAGAAATAAACGTGCAAATATAAATGTGAAGAAAAACTGAACAGAAAACTGATAATCTTTGTTATCAACATGTGCAGGTGGTGCTAAGGTATTCGAATTCCCAGGAATTCCGCATCACTTATAACGTGATAGAAGGTACACAAATACATTTTTTTTTTCCTTTGCTTTGGATGTGGACCACTTCGATGACTTCTCTAGCTAACTGTTGTTTACGGCGTGACAGTATAGTGTCGACGAAAAATTGAGTGCAACCGCATCGTTTACAATGGGCGGCGAGTGAAAATGGTTTGGTGTCTGATGATGATCATTCATGTTCCCTAAAACAAATGTTGACGCATCTTCTACTCTGTCCAATGTGTGTTTTCCGCATGATAATGGGATTCGATATACAATGGCCTTTTTCGCAATCAGTATAATTAAAAGTGTGTTTTATGCCGAAACTATACTGTGAACACTCTTTTTCTCTGATCTGTGTGTCCGTGCTAAAGAACCCCAGGGGGTCGAAATTTCCGGAGCCCTCCACTACGGCGTCTCTCATAATCATATGGTGGTTTTGGGACGTTAAACCCCAGATATCTATCTATCTGTGTGTCTGTGCCTTTCTGCCCTTTTGCGCACATGGATTCAAGCTTATGTGGAATGGGAAAAAAGAAAACTACGTCAACGGCGTAACGTTGAGCCACGTTGTTCCAACCGTGAGCCACACGATGAGTACACGGAAAGATTGTGTACTTTTTGGCTCTCGAAGCCCGTTCTTTGTCGCCTACCGCCTGTGAACGATTTGGCTTCGAACGTTTGCGCATCTTTTCACAGGCTTGCGCAATGGCGTGCTCCGGAAAACCTGCTTGCTTGAGTCTTGCCACCTGTTCGCTGACGCTAATATGTAGCCCGCCCTGACAGGATTTCTGCAAGGCTGAGCGTACGCATGGCACGGTTATGCCATGTTTGATTATTTTCGAATGAATGGACGTGAAATCTGGTAAATTCTTTAGTGAAGGAGGATGATAGCGCCAACACACATGTGTAGGCAGAAGTCTGATATGTGGGGTTTAACGTCCCGAAACCACGATATGAATATGAGAGGCGCCGTAGTGGAAGGATCCAAAAATTTTGACCACCTTGGGTTCTTTAACGTGCACCCAAATCTGAGAACACGGGCCTATACAGCATTTCCGCCTCCATCGACAATTCAGCCGTCGCAGCCGGCGACCGGCTGCGGCGGCTGCGGATCAAGTGATCCCACGACCGGCGGGTCAGCAGCTGAGTACCTTAACCACTAGACCAGCGCGGCGGGGATAGGCAGAAACAGCAGCAGTTGTCATAATGCAGAAACATCAGCAGTTGAATACAGGAAAACTGGATGACGTCATTACTGAGCATTTTCCTTACTTGTTCATGCATTGCTTCACGCTCTTTCGGTGCTACGCGGTATGGGTTCTGTCGTATTGGCCTTGCCGTGTCTCCGTTATTATCCGGTGCTTCGACAGTGACGTTTGACGGACCCTTGAGGTCATGAAAAACAGTCCTAGACTTGGTGAATAGGATCTACTAGACGCTGTCTCTGCGCTGGTGATAAATCCTTGCTTACGTCAATAGGTGGTGGGGCTGACGTGGCTTGCAGCTCGTCCTGTTGTACTACACAGCACTCGCGGATTTCGGTGATCTCGTAGGCAACTGTAGTGCCTTGTGTAATGTGTCATCGCTCATTGGTAAAATTTGTCAACAGAACCTCCGCTTCGTCGCACACAACATCGACGATACTTCCGGCAATTGCAACACCGTGAGAGAGTAAAAGCGTCAATACTTGTTCAGCGATTCCTTCTCCAGTATTCTGTTCGCTGCACGTGACTGAAACAAGGCGGCACGATAACGGAGGTATGGTCAAATCGTCAATTACTCACAGGGATTTTCGGTGAAGCGCTGCGCTTTGATCCGCTGAAAAGGTCAGTACACCGTCTGGTATATTGATGATGGTACCATATTCACGCAAGAAATCCATCCCTAAGATTGCCTGTTTGCAACACTCGGAAAAAATAACGAAAGTTGCGACGAAAGATGCATCCCCTATCTTCATCGTTGCGGTGCACTTTCCGGTAGGTGTGCGTAGCTGCCCTCCAGCTCCTCTAATCTACGTTCCTGTTCATTCCATTCTAACCTTCCTGAGTTTGTCTGCCAGACTCCCACTCATTATTGAGAAGTCCACGCCAGTGTCGATTAATGCCATGGCATCATGTCCGTCAGTCGTAATTGCAACTTCGGCAGTAACAATCCCATCTTTCTTCGAATCACTGAAAATTTGTGTCTCTTCGCTCGGCGGTATTGGGGGATTTCCAGCACTTCGACGATTCACAACCTTCCCCCCTGAGGTCGCTGCTTTTAGTTTCCCCGGCGTGGACTAGGAGATATCCCTCTTGGCATGTCAGTGGTGCTCCGTCTAGAGGATGGAGAATAATGCCCAGGAGAGGGTGAGCGCGACTGAAACCCAGGAGGAACATCCCGTGGGGTCAGGACACTCGTGTCGACGTCAGACGTTTCGTTGAAATGGTGCCGAGGAATAGTGGAAGGAAATTCTTGGTACCCTGCGACGCGATACGGGCAATACCGAACGATGTGGCCTGCTTCCCCACAATGAAAGCACAGGGGCCTATGGTCAGGGGTACGCCAGATGTCAGTTTTGCAATGTGGTGGCCGCCTCGACGTCAAAGTTTCTATGTAGTACCAAGGCGCTATCGGCGGATGTTGCTGGTGGTACTGATGCGGTGTCGGCACGTTCGCTGGTTGTCGGCGGACTACGTATGCATAGCTTGCCCTGGGGGTGCTCGTGTTCGGCTCAGGAAGCGAGAGCGCTTGCCTGATCTCCTGGCGCACAACTTCCGTTACTGAGGCAACTGCGCAGTCATTCGGTTTGGCGACGAGCTTCTTGACCTCTTCTTGTACGATTTCTCGTATTAGTTGTCGCAAAGAACCTTCGTCGGGTGTTGTTGCTGTGGTCGTGGCTGCCGCGCTGATCGGTGCACTGTGGGTTGGGCGGACATACTGCCGATAGCGTAGATGCAGTGCGCATTCGATGGATGGCGCCTCCTTGGAGAATTCATCAACACTTGTAGGTGGGTTTCGTACGAGACCAGCGAAGAGGTGCTCCTTAACGCCCCGCATGAGGTGGCTAACCTTTTTGGCTTCGGGTATATTGGTATCTGCTCGACGAAGCAGCCACGCTATGTCCTCAACAAACATCGTGACGGATTCATTTGGTTTCTGAATCCGAGACTCGAGGAGACGCTGTGCAATTTCTCCTCTTTGGGTGCTCGCGAACGTATCGAGGAACTTCTGCCAGAACTCGTTCCAAGACAACCGCACGCGTTTCGTAAACCACGTTCGGGTTCCGTCTTGAAGCGGAAAATACACGTATCCCGATTTCTGTGTGATGTTCCACCCGTTAACATTCGCTGTGTGCTCGAAATCCTCGAGCCAGTCATGTGCGTCATCATATGTGTTTCCGTGGAAGTCAACCGGGAGTCGAATTTTCAAAACAGTCACCAGTGTAGGGCTGGACATGTTAGGGTCAGTGCTTCCAGGTGCCGTCATGCTTTCTGGCACGGACACGCTTTCCGGCAATGGACCAAACTCCGGGCTGAGGCCTAACAGGCGGCACTTGCTGCGGTGAACGGATGTGTCGATGCACGGAAGTCTTTCTGGGCTAGATGCGGGCTGTTGTCAGGCGTCCCGAACATGCACCACGCACCTCCACCAGTGTCACAATGCAAAAACAGCAGCAGTTGAATACAGGACAACTCACTTTAATTCTACCGGAACACTGGCAAACTGATCGGAAGAGAACCTCGTCTTTCTCGATCGCTGTGCGTTGTTGTGCCACAGACATGTTCCTCGTTCGGGAGCACGTCTCACGAGATCGAGCCCTGTTCCGATAAACTGTCTCCCCCCCTCCCAGCGCCGCCTTCCGTGCAGAAGAACCGTGCAGTTCCGGGGATAACGTCGCTTCCTCCGCCGAACCACTTTGCAGTTCCGGGTACGGCTGCGTCTCCTCAGCCGAGCCACTGTGCCGTTCCGGAGAACTGGTCTCGCAGAAGAGTCCCAAAACGCTATTTAAGGCTGTGCCGGCCCCATGTTAGAGGATTTTGCCCCAGCCGACGTTGTCGTGCTGGCCGGCTCTGTACAAACGACAACCTGCTACAGTAAACGCTACTTTTGTTGCTGTTTTCAAAACGGATTGCCTCCCTGTTTCGCCCTCGGGCTAAGGCTTCAGCGAAGTCCGCTCGACGGCTCGCCGCTCTTCGCCACCACTACCATCGCGACAGAGCAAATTCTTAACAGCGTGCTCTTCGTTGTTCTCTTGGTGCAGTGCATATTCAATGCGGCAATATCCAAGCTCAAGTCTAAGAACTGGAGCACCCCCTCTGTCATGAACTCAAAACCGTGAAATTTATACCGCTTCCATTCTCCCAGAACACTTTCAAGATGTTCACAGAGTGTCGATAATAGTCACGGACATCAATAGGCACTAAGTAGTCATCAACATAGCGAAAGGCATGCTTGACCAATCCATCCAAGCTTTGCATCAGCTTCCTGTCCACAGAACTCACAAAAATTCCACACAGGGCAGGTGCTACACTAGAACCAATGCATATTCATTTTTTTTCTGTATGTACAGCCCTCCATTATCTTGAACATAAGTAGACCTTGACGCAGAAAAGTCCACTTGTCGAAACATCCGCTTGCGCGCACAACCCCATAGATTTTTTCATCTAAGGTCACTTTGCATGACGATCTCTTTCAAACTAGGCCCAGCGTTTGAAACCTACCACCGAACCGGTCCCCGGGCAAGACCGTGGCCACAGTGATGCCCATCGCGTCGACGACGCGCGCACTGCCCGATTGTAGCAGGTAGAGGCGGTCGCCCATGGTTCCCGCCGCGGCCACCACGTCGTCCGGGGTGAAGAACTCGAGCTTCATACTGGTCACCAGGTCGCGCAGGAACTCCGGCTCGGCCCGCGCGAAGAACGGCACGTTGCGCAGCACCCGTCGGCAGTTGTGCCACATCACGCGCTGCGTGTGTGTAGAATAAGTGCGACAGAGTGTCGGTGTCAAAGAGAGACTGAAAAGATGCTGGTTGTAGACGGGCTCGCTGGTACACATCTGAGCGTGAAAGTAGGGCGTCGAGGCGATACAAAGGAAACATATCAGCTTAGAATGACTTTATTATCTCTTGACAAACAATAAAGTGGAACTCGCATATGACGTCGAAGAAGAAAAAAAGCGGTATGCCTCCTGCTCCCCCTCGAAAATGATTCCTGATTACGGGCCTGCCTGTGATTATTCTGTTTCCCTTTCACGGAAAGTCATCGATTTTTTTCGGTTGCTCAAAGTGAGTGCGCTAGAGACGGAAGTGGGGCCGTGTCGCATTGCTGTTTCTGTCAAGTCACACATATGTGTTCATGTATTTATTGTTTGTCAGGCATTAATAAATCCAGTAGTTAGTCAGCGCTTCGTCAGTGTGCTTCCTTTCGCTGTTTTCGGTGCTTTCGTTTTCACGCACTAATAAGTCGACGTAGATTGTTGAAATAGCATTCCAGAAACATCGCAGTGTTTTAATTATGTCTAGAAGACGCCCGTAGTTCAAAAGAAAACGGTATTTTGAAGGTTTGCGCATTATTAAGGCGATTCAAACCATCCGTCCTTGGAACGGACTCCTGACGCAGCCATGTCGGCCCTTCACTGCCGAGAGGACCGAGGGGCTTTAGCGGAGCAGCACATTTCTGCAGCCCGTTAGGAAGCTCCACCCAGCATTGTTAAAGTGAGGCTAAAGTGGAGTGAAAAAAAAAGGAAACGAGAGGCCCCCTTTTTGATAAATGAGTATCTCACAACACCGAGCACAAGGCCGGAGTAAGCATACAATAAAAAAAAACATAGTGCGAAAACACTGACTGTCACTTTGCTGTTTGAGTATCCCTTTGATTGACAGATAACGCTTGTTTCACTAGTAATAGTAACGTTGGGTAGGCTTCGTGCGTCGATCACGCAATGAAGAGCGCAGATATTACCAGTAAAATGCAGTTCGTTAACGCTTTTTCATTCGCGGGCAATCGGGTCAAGCCGCTCAGAACAAAGCGCCGCTGTCTGCATTCGACCACCTATTCAGGCACACTACAGCAGCGAGGATGCTGCCACCTGTAACCCGATTTCGGGGGGAATATAAAAGCCGGCGGGCGCCCGGCCGCACTGGGAATGGAACCTTAGCTCCCACATTGGAGGCGGCGCTCTATCTATGCGCAAAGTTCCCGTTCAGGAGGAGAAGGGGGGAGATGGCGGAGGTTCTATCAAGTCAACGTATGACACGGAGGAAAGAAAGGTGACGTATGATGTAGACTTTGCTGCACTGCGCGCGGTCGGAAACGCGCTACCCCCAGACCACCCGTTGCGTGCCGTGTGCCTTGCAGCGCTCAGCGAGCAGTCCGGAACTACCCTGCTCAACTAAGAGCCCTGCCGCTGGGGCAGAAGTGCCCCACTGCCATCGAGACGCTCCCCAGGACTCCCGACTACTACTGGCTGCTGTTGTTGCTGCGGCAGTTGCCCTTTCGTCCCAGTGTTGCGACCTGAGACCTTCTGACTGCTTCTATCCCTACACCGACTACTTTCCTATACTCTTTATTGCCCTTCCCCCATCCTCCTACAAGACACTGCACTATGTTTCCTTAAGGGCTGCAGAAATAAGCGTCTTTTTTTTTCTTTTCCACCTATCAATACCCCCTCCCCCCGCCTTTCTTAGGTGACTTGAGGGTATCGCCCCTCCCTACACCCCCTCCCCTCTTAAGCAAGCCTATGCACTCGACCACCGCAGTGTTGGAAGTGTGGAAACTCATCTCGATAAGGGAATCATAAAACATAACATCGCAAAAAAAACGACAGACTAACATACAGAGACAAACCAGCGATGTGTGTTAGTCCATCATTTTTTTTCGCGCAATTACTTTTTTATGATCATGAATAACCGACAAGCTTGGGTCAACGCCATTAAGGTGGTGGTTTCTCCTTCCCGCTCTCATCCATCTTTCTCACCTCCGCTCCCCTTCCACGTCAGCGCTGCGCTACGTTACCTCCAGCAGAAATGATCGTCTTTCCACACTTGAGACCGTCATATTCCACGCACCTCCCGTAGGGGATCCGACAGCGACTTGATGATCTGGTTTTCGTCGAAGACGAGCCCCTTGAAGCGGTTCTCGGCGTAGTCTCGTATACGGCGCCGCAGATTTATCGGCAGCATCTTGTACTGCATATAGTCATCCAGGTCGCGTATCTTGAAGAAGAAGAAAACAGAAAAAAAACAAGTCACTAATACAGAACAAGCCAGTTAAGCAGGGGTGAATATTAGTGTAATTCGTTCTTTGTATCCAATCACAGGCCCGGAAACGCATCCAAGTTTTAGGGTACAATATGCAAAGACATTTTCAAAAGATTCCGCAGATCGCACGCACCTTGGCTGCAGTGAACGGATTGCTTGCGTAGTAAAGGCGTGCAGAACGTTACCCTCTTACAACATTACACAACAAACAGCAATGTCAACTGACATGAAATAATAACACATATATGCAAAAGTTGACCGCAATCTGCAATTCAAGTTATCTTTTGAGTACTTAAAATTTAATTGCATAAACGTTCATTACTCAAAAAAAAATACCGAGGCAAGGTTGCAGGAATTCAGTTTATTAGTGTTTTAATCAATGGAGAAAAAGTTATGGTGTCATACATGAGAGAACTTAAATCATATCTGCGAAGATGTTATTACTGCCACGAGATTTCGAAAAAGCAGCTACAGGTAATTTTGGCAGTGCAATAAAACTAAATTTCCAAGCCCTCTTAGTATGTCTGCCACAACAGAGCACTTAATTGTCAATGCTGCGAGCAAATCTTCTACTCCGTTATTCTTAAACATTTTCACACATTTCTTGAAAGTTGGAACGCCCTGTAGCGTTGGTCGGCAACTTTTTCAGACGGAGGGTCACTGTGCGTGAAGCCGGCACAGTGGCGGCCATATGGCAAAGTAGTGCGAGGGGAGGCGGGGAAGAGACCGGGGACGTTGGCCAATTTACTGTACAAATAAGAAATTTAAATCATGGCTATTTTGAGCACGCATGTTACAAGGTTGCAGCTATAGTTTACAAGTGAAAATACCAGCAGAGGTAAATAATGCCAAGTAGGCCTTCACATAAGAAGTGCCAAGGAAAAGGTGGGTATCTGGCGTCATACCATGGGTTGCATACAGCCCTGTGGGCCGCCGGTTGCTAACGCCTGCCCTACGGAATATAAACAGCAACGCGAGTAAGTTGATAGCCGCACCCTTTGCCTGTTCCTGAGGTAGGTGAAGTTCATGGACATGATCATGTCGATGCAGGCGCCGACCAGCAGCGCTTGCAGGGCGTGACCCGTGGCCATGCAGCCGCAGCGGAGCCACGAGTCGGTCATGCTGTCCGCTTCGGTGGCGCCCATGCCGACGCCCAGCATCATGGACGTCGAGCCGTACACCGACCACGAGTACTGCACCGGCCACGACGCATTCTGCGAACGAGTCGGCAAGGCTGTCGTGCGTACGGCGTTCACATCACATGCGGCACAAAAATTATTGCATGTAAGGAAAGACTTAGGTACGGTTCAATGCGCTGGTTCGTGCTCTGCAAGCAGGAGGAACAGCTACCTAAAAGAAATAAAGAAAAGGGAACGCCAACTCCTCATTCGTCCGAGCATTTTCAAACTTGGGGCTGCTCCGCAGGGGGATTTAGCTGGGCTAGCTGGTACTGACTGAATGCTTCTATCGTATTCGCAAACACACACAACAACAACAAAGAACTAATTAGGAGAACCACCAGACCTATCACTGATATATGTCGATTAAAATCAGTTGAAATCCAGCGGTTCTTTTGTGACGTTCTCTATAGCCTTCGTGCGTGTTCGCTCGTATTATAGAAGGTGTTCCACAACTTCGGGCTGAAGGGTGATTTATCTCAAAACAACAATTTCAAGAAGCCTCGCCACACTTTTCAAAGGGATAATCGAGTGGCTTGACATCAGAAGAGCCTATTACTTTGCGAATCGACTGCCGCAAATTTATTTGGAATCTGTCAAGCTATAGAGCGGTGGTATGTCGCACGATTCAAGTCCTTTCTCACTCCGTTCGTACCAGCGAGCGCGCTGACAGCTACGTAGGTGGGCAAGAGGGAGAGAGAGTCACAATGGGGCAAGGAGATACTAATAATGAGGGACGGTCGCCGAACCCCACGTGGCCGAATTTCGACCACATCGGATGCATTATTGTTCACCTAAATCTAAGTACACGGGCATATCCACCTCTGTCGAAAATGCGGTCGCCGCTGCCGGCATTCGATCCAGCGACCTGTGGGTGATTATATATACATATATATATATATATATATATATATATATATATATATATATATATATATATATATATATATATATATATATATATATATATATAGAGAGAGAGAGAGAGAGAGAGAGAGAGAGAGGAGAGAGAGAGAGAGAGAGAGAGGACGCTACGAACTGACGCGTTGAATCGCGTACGTGTGCCTTATACTTTCAATTAAGATCGTGAGCGCACGCCATAACTATGATGCTCAAATCGATTAATGGCTACGGACTTCGGGCATCCTTATAGGCGACTTAATTGCTCAAGTGACTTCCTCGGACGAATCGCTTAGTTGATTCACTTGCATTTATAAAACAGTAAACGCTCATCTACCCACCTAACACGAAGGGGAGCTTTATTTAGGCATGAGCACTTAAGCGCGGATCTTGGCAACGCATCAATAAGAAATCAACAAAATATGTGCGCTATTTAGCGTGACCTGCATGTTGCCGAATTCACAAAATGCCAAACAACCTCCGATGTTCCAAATTAACAGGAGCCCTCCACTACGACGCCTCTGATAGCCCGACTCGATTTGGAACGTTAAACCCCATGAATCAAGCAGCCTATCGTCGCTTTGATGACCTAGTCGCCTAACTATACCCTGATAACGCCCCACTAATTTAAATAGACAGCCATCATTGGTTAACTGTCCACATGAAGTAGGTAGTAATTTTAAATCATTGCGCTCCTTGCTATGGTATTTGTTAATTGACCTATTTAAGTTAACAGCCTGTAGTAACTGAAGTTCTGTGTTTCGATTTTTGGTCAGAATCGCACACGTGCGAGATAAATTGCTTCTTTTCGTCTCGCGCGCGGCTGCACTCACCCAATATATAGGCGCTTGAATCAATCATCTATCAATCGATGAATCATTTACCCTTTTATTTTCATTTTGCACTTAAAGGAAGAGATAGTGCTCAAAGCTGCGGATACACACTGGTGAGAGTGCTGTCCTCTAATGCCGTTGACCACCGAGCACTGCCGAACATTCTGAAAATGCAGCAGTTGAAAACAAAGTAATACTTGGAAGGATATGTACTTTCAAGCGAGAAGAAAACCCCGCATGCATACATGCGCATATACAAGCATACTCGTAAGTCCGCACAAATACGAAGATGACCCCACTCTGCCGGAAAGCAGGGCGTTGAGGGCTGATGTAAAAATGCACATGCTCTTATTTTCCTGCGATCACCATTGAAAAGTACTACTTTAGCAATATGTGTCTAGGGGCATATTACAGGTCCCAAGGCGCTTTTGAAATAATGCGAAAAGGTGGCCCAAAACGTCTTTAGGATTATGTCGTTTGTGTCGATTTTCTTGTACTGAAAATGCACAGCATATTCATGGAGTGCATAATCACGAGGGATGACGTCCGTCATCCTCTGGATGGGATGACACACGGACAGAGGCACGGACGCTCGAACGGACGGGCTGACGGACGCATGAACGGATGTACGAACGGACGGAAGCATGGAGGGACAGAAGCACGAATGCGCGGTTGCACAGACGAATGGACACACGGACGAAAGCACAGATGGACGGACGCATAAATGAAAGGAAGCACGGACAAACAGACGGCCGGGCGCACGGACGGACGCACGGACGGACGGATAGAACGGATGGAAGCACGGGCGGACGGACGCACAGAAGCATAGATGAACGTACAGACGGACGGACAGAGAGACAAACGAAAGCAGACGGACACACGGATGGAAGCACAGACGGACGGACGCATGAATGAAACGAAGCACGAGCGAACAGACAGACGGCCGGACGCACGCATGGACGCACAGAAGCATAGGTGGACGCACGGACAGACGGACAGACGAATGGAAACATGAAGAGACGGACGCACGGATGGTTGGACACACGGATAGACGGATGGATGCTTCGCCCCACTCATCATCATTCATTCTGAGGATATGCTGAGAAAACCACTAGCGCCATGTAGTTATACAATTCCCAAGGACATATACACACAACGCCATCTATTGAGCAAGTCATAAACTAGAGGTGGCTACATACTACATGCGGAGGACGAAACGACCCACGGCCTAAGGAGCTTCAACCTTAAAACATCACATTTCAAATTATCGCAAAGAAGACGAGCACTCACCGCCAAACTGAGACGCGCCACCCAGGATTTGGTGGGAAACCCTTCCAGGCGGTCTACGTAGAACTGCAGGCAACCGTGCCAGTGGATGAGGAGGAACAGCATGCCCAAGTTGAACAGCAGACGCACGTACGCTCCTTTGGAATACACGAACTGCGCCAACAGTTGGAGAAAAAATGTGATGCGTCTTGAGCACCACATGATTCAAGTAATCGTGAACGACGCCCCCATTTTACAGAAAAAAAAATTACGACAGAGAGATGTGAAGCCATTGGCCCCGCCCTCAGCGAGGACAGGTGGGCTGCGCTCTTACGCAGCCCCGAACTTAAGGATCAAACCCTGGCCGTCCAGAGTGCCCGTGAACGGGCCGCCAAGCTCAGCCTGACGGTCCCAACGTGGGATTAGCCGGGTGGCGTGGGGTCTCCCTAGCTGCGTCTTCTCGGGACAAAAAATAAAGTTTTAATCAATCAATAAATTAGATCCCACCTACCATAGGAATCAATAATATGCCAAGCATGCACCAAGCGTTGCCACATTATTGCTTATGCAACCTGATAAATAAGTTAGGCAGGTTAAGTATCCTGGCAGTGCTTGGCTAACTCTTGTTTTGACGTCATTCCTGACGCAAAGTTGGATGCGATGAAGAAAATGAAATAGAGAAATTTAAATCAAGCCAGGTTCCTGCTATGACCCAATCAGCAAGGCAATTGGTGCGAATAAAATGAGTGAGTCAGTGAGTGAATGAGTGAGCGAGTGAGTGAGTGAGTGAGATTCAGCGAGCCCCGATGCTTACGAAGTTTTCCTCGACGCCGGCTATGTTCCTGATCACGGTGGTGAGCCGACCAATTTTCGGCAGTGCCAGCAGTTTGTTGACGCGCAGGATGCTGGGGTATGCCGACGTGGTGGATGGGTCAGCGGCCCCGTCGCCCGTGTGCAGCGCAACCATGGCAGTGTAGTCCAGCGGCAGGCAGCAGAACGAGTCCACGTAAAAACAGCCGCGCCGGTATTGTGCCGCCACGTAGTTCGGATCCATGTTGATGCGGCCGTGTTCTTCTTTCATGGCAATGCCTGTAACATAAAATACAACTTTAAAACGTGCTGGAGATTAACGTCCCAAAATCACGATATGATCATGAGAGACGTCGTATAGTGGAGGGCTGCGGAAATGTCGACCACCTAGGGCTCCTTAAGGCGCACATAAATCGAAGTACACGGGCCTTGATCATTTTCGCCTCCACCGAAAATGGGCCCGCTGCGGCCAGGACTCCATACCGTCACCTGTGGGTCAGCATCCAAAAGCCATAACCGCCAGAACACCGCGACGGATGCATAGCAATGCCTGAAGAAAGATGCATTGACACAAGCAGATATTTCTCCGTCATTACTAGCTACGTCTACAGTTGTCAAAGAAGCGTCTGAGTGTGTATGCGGCAATCTCGCTGCGTAGCATTATGCGTAACAATATCATCAAAAATGAACTGTTGCGATCGTCTTGACCATATATCGAACATGCAGTGTAGTACCTATTCTACTGAGTCAAAATGTAGTGCAGTGTAGTACCTATTCATGTGCAGTGTAATGCCTATTCTACTGAACGTGCAGTGTACTGTCTATTCTACTGAAGTACGAAAGCTGAGTAAAGTTTGCGAAACTATGTCTCGTTAATCAACCCGTCGTTAAGTGTAAAACAGTTTTGACGCCGGTTTGCGATCTGCTGACGCCAGTTTCAGTTACAGTATACAGTAACGAAAGGATGCACATGGTGGCTCCTGCAACCTGTACACGATAGCGACATGTTGAGCCGCCCTTATAGTGTACTATTTTGTGTACTATCAATTACCCTCCTTTTATATGATGCACAGGCGTTCGTTTCTTTGATCGTCCCCCCCCCCCCCCTCGCGCTAGAACGATGTTATAGGATAAGGCGAATGCTAATGGGACAGTGGCTCGACATCGCAGACGAGAAAAAGATGGGGGTGAAGTTAAGGCGATAGTGCCATGCCATGCTATAGCATGTGAAATGTAGTGTTCGTTTCAGTGTTGTGTTGGCGTCGTGCGATTTCCCCATCACATTTGGTGACATGCAGCGCGGTGGGATTCAGAAGTATGAAACGCCCAAAGGATGACTTGGGGCGCGACTCTCGTGAATATATTTTGGCAAGTTACGATCATAAGTGGACAGTTATTACAGAACAGATCTGTCGCCACTCGGCAAATTCATCCCTACGTTCCACTATCACCGCTAGGTCTGTCGCCAAAGCGACACGTGCGCAGGGCGTCTCTGAGAGACGCACGGCGCCTGCAGAAGACGCTGTATACTTCATTCGATGGAGAAGCAAGACGTTGGTAAGGAAGAGCATGCCGTCTCCAAGAGATGCAGTGCGCTGTCTGAAGAAGCTGGGAATCGCTTTGATGGAGAAGCCAGACGATGATGAGAAAGAGTGCAAGTTTTCCGTCGAGAACTTCGACTCGGGCAACTGTGCCACGAACATTAGCGCTCAACGTCGAAGGAAACGAAAAGCAACGAAACGCAAGTACGAGTAAATACGAGAGTAAGTAAGGAGTGCACACTGAAAATCTGGACATTTGCTGCAGTTACGATGCAGCTAGAAAAACTTCGTAAGGACGGAAGTGCGACAAAACGCCTGTCCCACTCACAAGCCTCAAAGAGGGGCATGGACCGAAACGAAAACCTGCAAGATAAACTGCAAAGGGAGGAGATTTGTAGGCGGGTTCAACAAGTCCTTTCTCATCGCAAAGCTTTCAAAGAGTCATGCACCCAGCACCACCGATGTGCGAAGACAAGACAAGCGCGGACATACAACGGCTGTTCGTCTTATGCAGCCTCTACAGCTAGACCTGAGCAGCACTATAATGGTCAACGACAGAAATCATCGACGGCCTCAGAAGACAACCCGATGTACTTGCAGGTTCCGATCGGTACCACGTGGACGGCGCGTCACTCCTGCAGTCTCCGTTTTTCTTCGTTTTAGGATGCCTCGTCATCGAAATAAAGTGTTTATGTTCACCGACGAGACAGCAGCTTTTGCAGCGGTTGGAACATTCATGCCTGCGATACAACACAATGAAGACTTGAGTTCCCTTCCAAAACCCCTGGTGAATAGCGCAACGTTATACTTTGGGAGACATCTCTGTCGTCACCTATGACAGACTCGACGCCATATGCGCGATTGCTGCGACAGAAATCAATTCTGCACTGCTAAGAAAAAGACGCTGCGAAGAAACCATTGTTGCTTACCGGCGCGACACCTTAATGAAGCTGATGACAGCCAAGACAGCAGCATGTAGGTGGCCGGCACGCCTGAAACACTAGAAATGTCGAGTATTGTTTCACCCTCTGCATGAGTGGGCTGATACCGGATACGGCATGAACAAGTTGAAAGAGAACACCGCTAGAGAAGCAAGCAACCAGATTCCCGACTCGACCTTCATTTCTGCTACGACTCCTCTCCCCCCTCACCGGTGGAAAGATATGTGCTAGAAACGGCGATGCTGGGGCAATGGCTGCCGGATTAAAGAGGTGTTTTCATTTTATATCTATTGTGTGTTTTAAGCAACCGTTAAGGTATAATTAACCCACTGCAAGAAGACAACAGATGGAGTGCTTACACCTTGATGTTAGCAAGGGGTAATAGGATAGCAGTAGTTCACAACATAATAGCTCTGTTAAGTAGGCAAGTTGGTAAAAAAAATGTGTGTGGCTCTCTGGCCTGAAATAGCGAGGCCCACACAACTGAGCTTGTTGGTTGATCTTTACGGCAAGAGCAGCGCGAAAAGATGACAACACGAGAAAAAGAACGGCACAGGACACTGGCGCAGATGTGCCACAGGATCAGCTCCCGTTCTGTGTCGTTCTTTTTATTGTGTCACTGTCTCTTTGCGCTAGTTTTGCCACGAGGATCAGGCACGGCACGCACGATGATGTTGTCGATTTGGACTTTATATAGAACATCACGGTGGCACCGACGGCGACGGCACAGTCGCGCCAAAAGGACCCATTTAAATGTGATCACGGTGCACGTGAAGAACCAGAATAGCGCGGTCAATAGCGCGGTCTTTTGCAGCGTCGGAAATAAATACACGTGTGCCAAAAACACAGCTCCGCTCTACCGACCTGGCCATGCTGCACGAAACCCCCGAATGAATTGTCTAGCGTGAAGGTCAGGCGGTCAATCAGTGGGGCCGCGTTATATAACCCACGTTCGTAGTCATCGTAATACCTGTCCTGAAGTTGAAGATGACGTCCACGAAGAAGAGCATGTCGGAGGCGATGTTGAAGATGCGCCATTCGAATCGCTCCTGCTGCGCCCTCTCAAAGTAGGCGATGTTCAGAGGCACGAGGATGACGCTGGCGAAGCTCATCACTACCATGCACAAGTCCCACGCGTTCCTGTAGCAGGACAACAATTCAAGACACGTAGATTACTAAAGTGCAGATTCATTCGTTTTCAAGGTTGCGATAGAAAAACCATGCGTTACACCGCAAAATGCTCCCGTTCACTTCGTCTATCGTTCTCGAAGACCAAATCGCAAACCATGTTTTTAACTTGTCCCAGAAAAAGGAGAGCCTCTTTTCACGTCGTTGGGTTACAGAAGGGCGCATATTCGTAGAATACAAGGAAAACCTCTCATAATACTGGGTATAACTTGGAACATGTATTTGATATACTTGGCAAAACGAGAAAAATATGGAAATTCTGCGGATTTCTCGCCAATACTTTTCTTCCCTGCCACTACTGGTGTTCGACGTCGGTGGACAAAATCGGAGGCTGCACAGAGTCGGTGTTTGTACACATCGAAAAGGTCCTATAGCAAGCTTGCATTTATGAAGGTTGATGTATCGCCTCAAGAGTTTTGACTATCAGCCCGGCGAGATTCACTGTTTACAGGACAAACGGCCGGACGTTGAAAATTCAAAAATAAAATATTGGTTGCAGAACGCCATGTATATGCTACGATAAGGTGCCCACCTGAAGGTGGTCTTCGGGTGTATCATCCATGGGACGCTACGCTCCTGTCGAATGGGCATGCCGTCCAGGATGCGTTGTTCTTCGTCGTCTAAAGGGTACAGAAGACCTTGCCGTATTTTCGGTGGAAGTAGGAACCCCTTGAGCTGCCGCTTGAACATCGTCACCAGTCTTCGCTCTACAGCTGCGTCCTGTAATGGAACGAATGAGTTTAATCTTTATTGCATGGGAAAGAACAGTTTCCGGCCGCCGCTTAATGCAAGAAAATAAAATTATTCTCTTGCACGAAAAACGACGTGGTTTACTTACATTGCTAACGCCCTTAAACATACTGATAATTAACTTTTCGATAAGCGGCCTTGCTTTTTATCTAACGCTGTGGCAGTGCATTTAGAAAGGGTTAGGGCACTTAAAAACGTATTAACGTAGATGTTTATATGGACATCTTCATGCTTTGTAAGATTCCTTTTCAGTGAAAAAAGAAGGTGCCACTTGCAGTAATGGCGCGAGGCTGTAATCATTAGACAAGCTGTTGTACGACCTCGCTTCAAGCTTTTGCTACTGATGCGAAGCTCTTGCTTGAGATCCAAAATTTTGCTACTAATGCTAAGCTCATACTAGGCATGCTAAGTTTTTAGGGGCGAAGCTCCTTAGGGCGTGGGCTGTGCGTCCCCTGTAGCCTGTATGTAGCCACCTCTAGTTTAGTTCTTGCAGTGTTCACTAGATGGCGATACCGTCCCCTGTATGTAGCCACCTCTAGTTTAGTTCTTGCAGTGTTCACTAGATGGCGGTACCGTCTCCTGTATGTAGCCACCTCTCGTTCAGTTCTTGTAGTGTTTACTAGATGGTGGTACTTGTAGCTGATGATGAAAAGATGCAAGATGTTATAAACTAGAAAGCGGTACTTGTAGTTGATGAAAGACGCGAGATCTTATAAAATAGGAATGATGTCACATATGGCGCGTGTCATTGGTTGAAAGCAATCGTTCGATTTAGTGCGGCGACGTACGCTAGGGGGAGCGATGTAATGAAATCGAGTGGGCAAAATGTACAGAGGATTCACGGTTTACCAGGTTTACCTCCGGAGCTTCGCCCACTCATCATCATTCACTTCGTGGATATGGCAGAATTTTTTTCTACTGCTGCGAAGCTCTTGCTAGGGGTGTCAAGTTTTTGCTAGTAGTACCAAGCGCGGTTAGGCTTCGGTCTATTACGCACGTGTCACGTTAGAGAGTTTTAGTTCCGAGGACCCCCAGACTCCCGCGTACGCTGTTACGCCTGGGAGTCCACACCGAATGTCAATGCCTCTGCAAAGGCAATCTGTGTCAAGGCCAGCGATCGAGCCCGCCTGACGCGATCAACTCAACGACGTCATCAAGTGGCGGCGCTGGTCTGTCACGCAACGCACATCGAGCTCCCTCACCCCACGAGCCTGATGAAGCAATCGGCGGCTTCCAGTCTGGCGAGTCTTACGCAATGCGTGGCAACATCCCTCATCCTTGGGTGCAACCACGCACAGCAGCGGGTCCCCGTAAGAGGATTCTGACATCACGGCCAGCGGCGCTTCTGGTTGAACGTTGGTGACGCAAAGATCCACCCAGTGTCTATAAAAAAAGCCAAGCCGCGCGTCGCCATCAGCCGACCTATGTGTCAGAGAAGCCTCTCAATGCTTCGAGCCCCTTCGCTGTCGGCGCGGCTGGTGTCCTTGTAAGCAGCGAGTTTCGTGGCGCCCTTCGTAACCTCGTCGGCGGTGCGTCTTCGTAACAGTGGATTGCAGCTGCGGGATCGGCCGGCGTCAGCGACATCGATGCCGTGAGTGCCTGATGTTTTCCCTTGAGATCACCAGACTACTCTAGCACATGTTTTAGTAGTTTAGAGAAGGGCTGTGTGAAGCATTAGAGTGAGCTTTTATCGTTTCAAGCCAAGTCAAAGCGCTTTGAAACCAAAGGTAATGCGGAGGGTGTAAACACGGCAGTGTTAAATATTGCTTGCGTGTCTTGCTAGTAGACATATAGAGGGTACGGAAAGTAGATTCTTAACGGGGCGAACAGGAAGGCTAGTGTGAACGATGGAGAACCTTAAAGTGAAGAAACTCATCGAAATTTTTGAGGAACCTGGCCTTACTTTGGTTCGGGCCGTGCGAAACGAAAGCAAGCGATCCTTGAGATCATGAAGGATGAAGTAGTATCGGCTGAGGAAGTCGATGAGGCCTGGGCGGATATCAAAGCACGCCGCGAGGAGGCTGAAAGGCGAGAAGTTGAAGTTCGCGAACGTGAAGAAGCTGAAAGGCGCGAACGTCGCGAGCGTGAGGAGGCCGAGAGACAGGAGCGCCTCGAGTTGAAACGAATAGAATTGGAAATCCTACAGTGTTCGCAGGCGCCTAGCGTAGCTTCTCCGACGATTCAGGTCAGCGGTTATAGAATTCAGGACCAATTACCGTTCGTAGTAGGTGAGGACATGGCGAAGTATCTCGTCAAGTTTGAACACGTCTGTGAGCGAAATGCTTTGGAGCGGTTTCTTCCGGCGCAGAACCTGTTAGCTTTTCTTCCCGGCGAAGTGTCCGACGTGATAACGTGCTTGTCAATGGAAGCCTTCGAGAGCTATGACAAGGCTAAGGAAGTGCTCTTGAGACGTTATAAGTAGTCACCCGAGGTTTTCGGCAAAGGTTCCGGTAGGCTAAAAAGGGGAATGAGTCACACATTGACTTCGCGTTTCGTCTTAAAGCCGATTTATTTGAATGGCTCAAGGGCGAAGGTGTTTATGACGATCGCGATAAAGTTGTAGAATGCATTACATTGGAGCAATTCTGCCGCTGCAGCGAGGAGGATGTCAAGTTTTGGCTGCAGGACAAACTTGGTGAATTACAGCTAAACAAAGCACCAGAGTTAGCTGGGAAGTATTATACTTGCCGAAAGTTGCATAGCAGGGCAGTGCGCGTTGAAAAGGATGAAAGAAAAGAGGGCTTTTTAAAAAACCTGATCAACGGAAGCCCGCTCTGCACTCTAATTTCAGGAAGGACCCGTCTCTTACGAAGGATACTCTAGGAAAACGGCAAACGGAAGCAGAAAATTGAGTGAGGTTCTTAAACAACGCACTGATACCACACGTGCGTTTGAATCACGAAAGCCGCTAATCTGCTACAACTGCAAGTAAGAAGGGCACATCGTGATAAACTGTAAGCAAAAGTTTGCTTTCGCAACAATCCGAGAATCGGAAAAGAACACGCGGTTGTTAGAGCCGTATCTCCAAGAAATTAGTGTGAATGGGAAAACGTGTCGAGCACTTCGAGACTCAGCGGCAACCATGGACGTTGTCCATCCTTCATTGGCGTCTCCGGATGACTTTACAGGAGAATGCGTGTGGATCAGACAAGTCGACGAGGAGCAGAGTGCTTGCTTGCCAATCGCTACGGTAGTCAGTGAAGGCCCGTTCGGTAAGCTTGGCACCGAAGCGGCTGTGTCTGCCGTGCTTTCCGATCATTTTCCTTATCTATTTTCTAGTAACTCAGAGCAGCTTCTCAAAGAGCAGGGTAAATGGTTCTTCTCCAACTTAGCATACATGGCCCTCACACGATCACAGGCGCGGAAGCTTTCGCAGGAACTTGATTTTATTCCATGTGGTGAAACACCACCTGCAAATGCTGCTCATCTGTGAGACATTGGCGTCGAGTCGACGGAACCTCAGACAGGAAATTCTCCGTGTGAGTCATTTGAGCAGTCACTCGTGCGACCCATCGCCGAAGCGACTGGCGCAGTCTCCGTAGGCGGAGGAGACGGCATGGCGCCATTGAGTCAGAGCGAGAGGGTTGCAACGCTCTCGACTGTAGCGGAAAGTTGGAATGAGCTGTCGAGGGTTGATCGAGAAACACTCATTTGATAGCAGCGTGAGAACCTCTCGATTAAAACGCTAATGGAAACCGTAAACTTGGGAAAAAGGAAAAAGAATGTTTCCTTTTTTTGAAAAAGCAGGGCTCCTGTATCGTAGCTACACAAATGCGCAAGGTCCCAAGTATGAGCAGCTCTTGGTGCCACAAAAGTATCGTCGCCAACTATTGGAACTGGCGCATAAAAACGCGTGGGCAGGGCGTCTCGGTTTAAAAAAGACCAAGGCTAGAGTATCCCTTAAATTTTAATGGCCGAAATGCTAGAAGGATATCGAAGACTTTGTACGCTCATGATGCGACACTTGTCAGAGAGCGGGGAAATCCACGAACAAGTGGAAGGCACCCATGAAGCTTGTGCAAATTATCACAGAATCTTTTCGGCGCCTAGTAATTGATATTGTCGGGCCATTGCCAGAGCCAAGGCAAGGTTGTCGGTACATCCTGACGGTCCTCTGTGTAGCCACAAAATTTCTGGAAGCATTACCACCTAAGGAGCTCAATTCCCCTCATTTCGTGGATGCACTGCTATCTATATTCGCACGCGTCGGATTTCCTTCTGAAATCTAATGTGACAATGGTAGTGTCTTCACTACCTTACCTCTACCTTTTTGGATAAATGCGGAATAAAAGTAGTGCACAGCTCGATCCATCACCCGCAATCTAATCCGGTAGAGCATACGCATTTCGTTCTGAAACGGGTACTGAGAGCTCTTTGCCACGAGCACAATTGCGACTGGGGAGCATGTATTCCTCCCGCTATGTTCGCTTTGAGATCAGCTCCTCATGAGAGCATTGGTTTTAGCCCTGCAGAGCTTGTGTATGGCAGGAGTTTGAGAACACCATTGTGAATGCTACGCGAGTCCTGGGAGGGATTCGAGGAGGACCCTAATGTAGTTGCGTATGTTCTAGACCTCCTTCAGAGTCTTGGAAAAACGAAAGATCTTGTGGAAAGCCACATGAAGGCTGCACAAGTGTGGTCGAAGGAGTACTACGACAAATCGGCGAAGAAGCGCACCTTTGAAGTAGGTAGTCAGGTAATGCTGCAGCGGCCGTCCAAAACGAACAAGCTTGAGGTTCCTTGGGAAGGGCCCGCCAATTTAATATTGAAGCTTTCTGCTACCAATTACGAAGAGAAATTAGGAAAGCGGCCGAACAAAATTTACCACAGTCACTTGATTAAACCGTACATTCTATGTCAAGTGGTCGTAAATCTGCTTTTGAATGCTTCTGAGGAAGAGGGAGCAGAAATTTCGACCTCTAGTGATGTAATCGAAAGGG